GAATTACATACAGTAATTAGAAATAGAGTAAAAAAAAAACACTGCCTAGCCCTGGCTGCTGTGGCTCAGTGGATTGAGCACCAGCCAGCGAACCAAAGGATTGTTGGTTCGATTCCTAGTCAGGTCACGTGCCTGGGTTGCAGACCAGTAAGGGGCGTGCGAGAGGCAAACACACATTGATGTTTCTCGCCCTTTCTCCCTCCCTTCTCCTCTGTCTAAAAATAAATTAATAAAATATTTTAAACAAACAAAAAAACCCGCTGCCTGTTCTCTGGAAGCTTCTCTTGAACTGAGCCTATGCTCTCAGAGTTCATCCTTGTGCTAATTTTTTTGGTAATCATCTCCAGACTTTGTTTTTTAAACTCCTCATCTGAGGATATGTTTACTGATTTTAGAGAGAGGGAAAGAAACATTGATGTAAGAGAGAAACATTGATCAGTTGCCTCTCGTTCTTGCCCCATTGAAACATAGAATCTACAACCTAGATATCTGCCCTGACCTGGAATCGACTCTGCAACCTTTTGGTGTATGAAATAATACTCCAACCAACTGAGCCACCCAGCCAGGGCATCATTTCCAGACTTTTCAAAAACAGTTCAACAAATAACTGTTTTGATTGTTTTTGAAAATTATATAAATGGGATTGCATTTTTATATTTGTGCTTCTTTGCATAATATGTTTATGAAATTTGTCATTCTATTGATGTAGTTGTAGTTCATTCAGTTTTATTGCTATATTACCACCTAACATGTGCCCAATATTTATGTTTTATGTATACCTGAAAAGAGTGTGGTTTTGGCATTTGCTTATGTATACAGTGTATACTTATATATTAGCTCCTTTGTTAATCATCTTGTTTAAATCTTCTAGAGCCTTAATTTTTTTTCCAACTTAATTCTTTTAATCATCAAGAGACATATGTGTTAAAATCTCCCAATACTATTAATATCTGCCTACAGAAAAAAAAAGAAATAGCAATATAAGAGGTAAAGTCTTTGAAATGCTTGTATTCAAAGAAGCAAATTGGCGTTTATATAAATGTTTGCAACTAGAGTCTATTCATTCGCTTAGATGGGGTTAAGTATTATGAAGTGAAGTAAACCAAAGCCAAGTGAGGAGAGAGAAAGGACTGAGGGTGATGCCTTTTGCATCAGGCGGCCAGGGAAGGTCCCCCTGAGGAGGGGAAATATGAGTAGGGATCTAAATGCTGTGAGGAGTTTGCTAAGGGGAGATCTCAGTGGAGAACATTCTAAGCTGAAAGATGAGCCAGAGTAAGGGTCTTGATGTAGAAACAGGCAGTGTGGATTGAAGGACGACCAAGAACGCCTGCGTGGCCGAAGAAGTATAAGGGTGGGAGAGAATGTTGGGTGGGGGGCGAGAGGTTGGTGTGCAGAGAACTGGGGGTGGAGAGGCAGATCCTGCGGAGCTCTGAATGTTACAGTAAAGAGTTTGGATTTTATTTTAAGTGTAATGGGAAGCCACTGAAGAGTTTTGCGCAGGGAACTGTCACAAACTGATGCATGTATTTTCAAAGAGTCGGTCTGGTTGGGGTATAAAACTGACCACAGGAGTGCAACAGTTGACGTAAGGGGACCAGTTGGGAAGTTACAGCAATAGTCCAAGAGCTGGTGACAGCCACTGAGGTGACAGCATGCTGATAAATAGCACGGTTTGAGATGTGATGAAGATCGAGCTGAAAGGAGCTGCTGATGGACTGGTGATGATACTTAGGCGTTTGGCTTGAGTATTAGGGCAAATTGTGGTGCCATTAGTTGAGCTGAGGAGGAAACGGAAGAGCACACAAACTTGGGGAGGAATAGCAAGGGTTTCATTTTGAACATGCTGAGTATGAGATACCTATTACATATTCAAGAAAAGGTACTGAGTGTACAATTGGACTGACCAAAAAAAAAAAAAAAAAAAAAAAAAAAGCACTCTGGGGAATTATTAGAGCTGGGGATTAAAAATCAGGAAATAGCAGCACAGAGATGGTATATAAAACTGCAGTCTCTAATGAGATCTCCAAGGGAACACCACGGAGTGAATGTAGACAGGAAAGGGGAGAGGGGTGAACATGGGGTCGCTGGGCCCCCTGACCTAGAGCTGGGAAGAGGAAGGAACGCTGGCAGAGGAGACTGACTGTGCTGCTAGAATGGTAAGAGAAACCCAGAAGAGTATCTCTTGGAAGTCAAGAAAAAAAGATGTTTTCATAGAAGAGCTATGGTGTGATCAACTTTGTCAAACGTTGCTGAAAGCTGAATAAGAACATCAATTTATATTTTTAAAAAACTCATACAGAAATATTAAACTAAAAATTAGGGAGGGAATATTAATTGAACTGTTTTATTATAAAGTCCAATGTTTAATTTAAAAATGGTGACAATTAGGTAACAGTTTTTATGTCAACTAGAGGCTTACCACACAAATAAAGCAATTAGCCCAAATGACAACCAATAACCTCTTTGAAAGCTACCAACATTGGGAGGGGTAATTGCTTCCAACTCTGAAGAACTTTAGCAAGTGCCATGTGAGCTGTATTGAGTCAAAATATGAAATAGGATCTCACAGTTTCACAATGGGCTAAGTGCTTCTGTCAAAATGCCCCATCACTGGTGAGTTTGTACCATGATTATAACTGAACTTTTATATCCAAGTAAATGCCTGTATGCTCCATTTTATCCCAGCGCTACTTGTATTTCTTGGCCTCTCAGCAGACACTTGGTAAGAGCAGTGCCTTCTGTGTAAAGTATTTCTTCCCTGGATGATTTGGAACATTCCAAACCAAGGTTGGCTTTCCCCTATCACATAATATACCCTAAATGAACTATGTGCCCACTTAGCCAATATATATTCAAAGAGCTTGCTGAGAGAATGTAAACCAATAGTAGTATAAGTAAATCACCATTATAATATAAAAGTAGCATGCAACAAAAAAATCTAAAATCCAGTGCAAAGGAAACTGTATTAAATTATCTATTGTTTAGCTCCTCACCAGCCATGCCAGTAATCTGTAGGTGTATCATACAGGTGACTACATTATTTAATCAGCCTCTAAAATAGGGAGTAGTAGGCACATAGTAGGCTCTCAAAAATAGTTGAGTTGTTTTAGAAAATAGATATACTTACGGAATTTTTAAGTAAGCTCTACTATTTGGGATTCCTCACAAAAAACTTGACCAGTACCAAAGGGGGAAGGTAGTCTCAATGCATAATGATTGAGTTGATTAGCTTTTAAAATCCTTTAGCAACCTCAACTTACACAATTTGATTTTCATATCATTGCTTTTCCTATACTATCAAAAATGGTGCTTTCTTTACTATTTCAAACTCATCATAAAATTGCTAAAAATCGAAAATTCAATTTGCCACATTACTGCTAATTTGAATAATGGCTGAATAAAAGACAGGAAACGCTGAAGCAGCAATGATTTCTAAAACATTTTGCACTTTCCTCCTCCATCCCTGTAAAGTAAAGCTCGAATGCTACGCACAATTACACAAGAAAATCAAGAAAGCCATTACATTCAGCATTTTGTCATGATCATTGTTACCATGGCAAAAAGTGGGCTTAGTTTAGCACAGCTGCTACGGGCAAGGTCTGCTGGCCTTTTGTAAAGCTGAGTAACAAGATAATGCCAAATTCTGTAGTCTGTCACTGTCCCCCTCACCCCCAATCCAGGATAAGACTATTGTCCACAGATGCTACTGCCTCATTCCTTAATGATCTTGGCCAATGCCATCTTGTATTCTTACACTACTGTATTCTTACTGTTGGCCAGTGGCCAAGGAACACAGTTCATCGAGGAAGGTTACCTGTTGACCCACATCCTGTTCTAAGGGTGAAAACTAAAGATTTCCGTAATATGAAAGGCCAAAGTTTCAACAGTTGTATTGCAAGTGAAAAGAGAGTCGGGCTGGAAATAGCTCAGGCTAGCAAGTGAGAGGGACAGATACAGGCCTGCGATGACGAGCTGCATGACGTATTAGTCTCTCTGAGTATTAGGTCAGTTTTCTGTAAAGGGGGATAAAAGTGGCCTCCTTGTGAGAATTAACTGAGATAATGTGCCAGCCCCGGTGCCCTGTGGGTGCTCAGTGATATGGCATTAATATGGCCTCCTCCTTTAACACCATTCTTTTTCTTTTTTAATCCTTACCCAAGGATATGTATTGATTTCAGACAGAGAGGAAGGGAGAGAGAGAGAGAGAGAAAAACGTTGATGTGAGAGAGAAACATCAATAGGTTGCTTCTCATCCACACCCTGACCAGGCATTGAACCTGCAACCTACGTACCCTGACTGGGGATCAAACCCACAACCTTTTGGTGCCTGGGACAACAGCACAACCAGCTGAGCCACCTGGCCAGGGCCACACTTCTTAACCACCTAGATTTCCCCGCCCATGGGAATGTTGACCGTGAAGTTGGTAGGTAAACTGTTTTCTACTGTTTGAAGGTAACTTGTTTTGATCTTTTATACAGGGATGGGCAAAAGTAGGTTAATAATAATAACAATTAATTAATAAATAAATAATAATAAAAGAATCAACTCCATGTGTCGCACACTCACAACTGTAAATCTACTTTTGTTTACCCTGTATTGTTTGGCTATTCTCCTCAGAGAGCTGAGGATAAAACACTGTTTAAGGTCTGACAGTATGCACAAATTTCATATCAAAAGGATGGAAGTCAGTGTCAATATCATAATATGCACCACATCTTATTATTCATGTTCTGAGTGACACCGATATTATCACTATAAAATGGAAAATGGCATATGTACTAATTTCAACCTCATGCAAAGATTTTTAGTTTTAAAAAATGAAGCAACATTATGAAAGCAGAGAAGTTTAAATTATCTGAAATGAATACATTAATCAACTCTCTGTATTTACTAGAAACAAAGGCTACTAGCATTTTTACCAGCTAAACAAAATATTTTTTTTCTAATGAGATTTCAGCGGAGTATCGTTTATCTTAAGAGAAAAATAATGGGACCTTACCTATTCCAGTAGCTCCAGAACTGGTCATGCAGGTAGGCGTGGTGGCTACATTCATCACCAAATGAGGCTTTGCTTTCAATCCAGTGAATTATGTGCCCTTCTACAGCTAAGGGACAAAGCATTACTAATATGGAGCAAAGGAAAGGGAAGATTGAAAATTCTGCACTCTGTACAGGCCTCTCTGTGCTTCACATTAGTGAGCAGAGGCTTGGCCCTCCCCGACATCTATGGAAGTAATTATGAAACAACACATGGTATATGTTTGTTACAAGGAACATTTATGCCACAATCACATCCCTTTTATTTTCATCATCATCTTCAAAAGTCCTTCTCTTATTCTGAGACTGTATAAGTTGACAAGTAATGTGAAAACAAACAAAAGTGAGCCTGGCTTTTCAACAGAACTGTATTTTAAAAATGTAATATTTAGAGAAATGACTTGGAAATAGCAACCTAAATGTCTTCAGAAGACATGCTTATTTTTCAAGTATATGTACATGATTTTAAGAAATAGATTTCTTCTGAATCTATTATTTTCTGCTATTTTAAAATAATTTTTTCCAACGATTTCAACCATCCAGATACAATACTATAAAGCTGATCTACTCTGGTAACATTTGCTTGTAAAAGAAAAAAAATTAAAAATCTATGAAAAAACACATCCCTTTTTGTCTATAAACAAATATATAACAGAGTTTAAGAACTTACCAACTGGTACTTGTAAAATAAAGTCTGGTGTTTTGTCATAACCATTTGCACGGAGCTGATCTTCATCTACAGGAAGAAAAAAAATACTATTATTTACAACAGTATTTCATTAACGAGATAGCAGTGTAATTGCTTTTCTTTCTTAAAAATGTATACAAATTACCAATGTAATTATACATGTCTTTCTTAACAAACCGGAAGCATCAATTTAAGAATGCCTCTTTATCCCTTCTGCATTTTTATGTTTTTAACTTTACTAAGTCAAGCTGTCATATGCTACTTTTTTTATAATTGAAAATACTCAAAATAATGAAATATACTTACTGATTAAAAGAAGAGGCTTCACTACCATGAATATCACTAATGTTATCAGCCAATATTGACAATTTACAGTATGGTACGTGCACAGAGTCCTTTACAATTATAAAACAAACACTTCCATTAAAGCAATTAAGAAAGTTTAGTCTCTATTAGTGAAACTTCCTTCACATAAGAACATAAGAGAGGGACAAGGACAATGGGATCACCACAGAGAATTAATTATCCTGCTGAAATTGGTTGGGTATGCTATTGTTTCTAGCATTTACCAGTGTTTTACAACGAACAATATGTGATTTTGAAAAGCAAACAGGGTTTGAGATTTTTTTTTTCTAGGTCTGTTTGATTTCTTGATCCTGTGTAAATATCAATGATCCATTCAGAAGGAAAAGAGATGGGAAAACAGAGAGCTTTACAAAGTTGGAAAAAAACTAGCTATGTTCTTGGTTTAAAAAAAAAAATTCCTCAGATATTTTCTAAATGCTGTCCTTGACTTCTAATGACATTACAATGTGATTTCTGAAATGAGGAGTTCTCCATTAGATTTTGGAGTGACCAGGTCATTCAATTCCAGACGTGGCTTTCTGTCTTCACCGAACCTCAACTAATGGCCCAACCAAGTAACAAGGAAGGCTGTGTGGTCTCTTAACACCTACTGGGCTGTTGACATTGTCATGCATCCCATTCGCCTTCCTGCATCACCTTTGATTAAAATTAATGGCCCATTTCCAGTGTTGGGTAGCTTATTTCCAACCCATTTGTCAGCCCAAGACAGTGGTTTCACGGCCAATGTTCAGAAACTCTGTTTGAGAACACTCTTGTATACGTCTTGAAAGGTCAGCATTTTAAACGTAAATAACCTTTTAATGACAAGACATATTTAAAGTGAATATTTAAGTTAGATTTTATTAAAAGTTGATATCCTTCAACTACCCAGATTTTGAAGGCTTGATGCCAGAATTCAGAGCAATCTCCCATCCTTGGACTCTAAAAAATTTTAAGGGAACAAATGAGATAAGGAAATACAATATTAAAGTAATCTTACTTTAAAGCAACAGAATTTGGAAAACTGGACTGCAGATGAATGAGACTGGAAGAATTTCTATCCTCTAAATGCACTCTGACCACAAGAACGTTTAATGGAAAAGGCATTTATTATAATCAACTCAAGTGCCTCGAGCTGACGTTTCAGGTAGCCGATGAACAGTTTTAAAAGCTGGGTTGACATTAAAAAAAGAGATTAATATTTTATTAAAACTATCCTAGCTTGATCAACCTTTGCAGATGTTAAAACCTATTTCAGAAAGAAAAATGATTACGTTTCTGACAGCAGCTCAAAACAAAATTTCAAAGGTCACCAAGCAGTCCAAATGCACACACTAATATACCTTTAAAAGGCAGATGCTGCACTCCTGTTCACTGCACCAAAGTTACCAGCACAATACCTACAATTTGAATTTCATGACTTAATGTGAAAATAAAAATCCCAAACTTTCTTCCCTACTCTGACCCCACCTTCCTCCCTCTCAGTATAAAGTTGATCCAATAGTACTTTTACCCAAAGGATGGCTTCTAAAAGGCAGACAGACTGATAGGGGTTATTCCGAATATTGGAAATACTGTGTTATTTATTGACTATCTTCTTTATTTACTAAATTCCCACTGCCTTATGCACCCTGTTTCAGCCTTCACATTGTTTCTTTTATCCTAGGTTTCCTAAGAAAGGAGGAGGGAACAACTTGGCAAAGGTCAGAGGGAATGACAATGCAAGGATAAGGAGCGGCATTTATGAATGGAGGGCCTTGCTCCCCTGCCTAGGCCCCATGAGAAATTTCTGTCACCAATCTCATCAGGAGATTTTTAAGGTCAGCACCAACCATTTGGCCTGATTTCCTGACCCCAGACCTTGAAAGACTCCTCACCATTAGGATCATTCTCCAAACCAGCGGGTATGGATTTAAAATGTGGTTGACCACTTGGTGGGTCAGGGTTCCAGCTCAGTTGCCAGCCCACACTCTTTGGCCTCACTGTCCGTTCACTCCCTGTCTCCCACACAATAGGCTTTTAAACTGTATCCACTGCCCCAGTCTCACCACCAACACAGGCTTTGCACATGTTTAATGTTCCAAATGGATAACTGAATGAAATACAGGTGCATTTTCAAGAATATTCATGTCCTCTGCAAACCCTACCTAGACTGACTTCGTAACTTTCTGATTTAACTGCCCATGAATCAGCCAGGCAGAGACAACAAATCCTGCCCAGAGTTCCGGGCTTTATTTGGTCATTCGTGCCAACATCTTTCATCTTTGGTACCAACTGTCTGCTGAGGTTCATCTTGATCATAAAGAAACAAACTTCACTCCTTTCCTTCACACTCATGGGAAGCTTCCTTACTTTTTTAGTTTTGTCAGTAGTATTTATTTGAATAACACTGGAGGTATCTGTTCCTTAAAGCATGGGCAGAATTCCTCACCAAAGCCATCTGGGCCTGGTGCTACTCTGTGGTGGGCAGCTCTTTGGTTACTTCTCCTATTGCTTCTATGGCTACTGATTTATTTAGATTTTTATCTCTTCTACAGTTAGTTCTGCAATTTATATTTTCCTTGAGAATCATAGATTCCCTCCAGGTTCTTGTAGTAGCTCTTTGCACATATTTCAGTCAGGTGGTTACTTACGATTCTTTGAATTTCCCCAGTGAAAAACTGGATTTTTAAGTAACATCCAGTTTTCTTCAAGAAAAAAGAGATCAAGATTTAAAAAAAAAGAAAAGGTAAAAACAGTGTTAGAAAGGAAGAGGGGAAGTAATGGCAATGTTTTAAGCACTTTTAGTATACTTTCCCAAAGTGGTTGGGGATCAATATGAAATCAATATCCAAATCCTGTATACCTTTCTTATTCAGTGAATAAAGCAAATTTGAAGTAAAGCTCTTTCTGGTTTAAGGTGCACATTAAAAACACCCAATATATCTCATAACTACTAAGCTTATTAATGTCACAGTTCCAGCGTTCATTATCAAAATTAACACAAGAATACTCTCATTTAAAGGAAGTCTTGTTAGCCTCCAGATCCACAAACATAAGATTTTTAGTTAATGTGAGCCTCATGAAACAGTATTTCTGAGCTTGTAAAGTTTTGGAAATTATTGTTCCAACACTCCAATTTACACACAGGGTAAAAGTGTCTGACAGGAGTTAAGTGACCCACCGAGACGGGGACCTCTAAAACAGTTCAAGACGCAGCAACGATCCAAAACCACCAAGTTCTAGTTTGTCCCAATCAACCATATGCCACTCTTAATTATGACAAATATTTAAGTTTCCTCATATGTAATATTTATGAAGTGAGGAGAAGATTCTTATTTTCTTCCTATAGGATCCTGAAGCACAGGAGGGATGACGTCCATCCGTTGGGTATTATTGTTTAGATGACACCTGCCTGAAGTGGCAAACTCCACAGTCCCTTGATTTCTAGATGCTCCTCTCTCCAACTGAATTAAAAAAAAACAAAACAATACAACTGTTTTATCCACAGATAAAACAGATGTTAAATTTTTAAAAACAACCCAGGACCTCATTTATTTTTTTGGTTGCCAGCCCTGCCTTTAGAGGACATTTTAAAAAAGAAATTATACATACTTAAAGAACACTGTGAAAGTTTAATTCCTCTGGCCTTTTAATTACTCTCTCCTCTAAATACCCAAAATATCCAAAGCAATTAAGTGCTAATTACACAATTACATTTTTAAAAATAAAAGGCTGACTCTGAGTCAGAGAACAAAACACATCTGAAACCAGTTAGCATACACTTAAGACTCATGGAAGGGCATGGGGGCCACCAAGGAGAAGCTGGAGGTTTTCTTTTGTTTGTTTTATTAAAAGACTTTAAATGTAAGAAATACAGTTAATCCTAGAGAAATTATGTAAAATTCCAGTTTACAACATCTGAAAACAAAAGTAACATTTTGGCATGATATTTTATTTATGGATTTGTCAAAAGACTTCTGAACAGTAGGTTAAAATATATTGTATGATTAAAAAGGATCCTTTTAACACCTATAATATTTTTACTACATTGAGGAAGGGCGAAAGCAATATATAAAATACAAATGAAAACTATAGTATACCTTTTCTACTGAAATATTTCTTTTTCTGTGTTATATTTTCCCAAAACACTGTCTCATTCAATACTTGGTGGTATAACCTTTGTATTTCATATTTTTTATATTCTTTAATAGTAAGTCTCACAGCCTTTATATTCAATTTGAGAAGTTTGAAAAGTTTCAGTAATAAATGTTACTATGATATGCAAACCATGTGCAACGGTACACAGAACAGATATGCATTTAATGGGAAGACCCATAGCACCGATAAATGAAATCTTTAGAGAATCCAAAATTTCATTACAGCCATTAGTTTCAACCTCTTCCCCCAAAGCCTCTTATCAAAGACACTAATAAGGAATACAACTGATTGCTCTGACCTTGTCCTTTGCTTATGTCTTTAGGGGACAATACTAGTGAAAACTGAAGTGCCCTAGATAGGAAACAAATGGGAGGTCACGGAACTGGGACAATGCAAAGTAAGGCTGGGCAGGCTGATCCCCGCCGACTGGTGGCTGCAAAGACAGAGGACCTGAATATCAACAGCAAAAGTAAAGCCTGTCTATATTTTACACCACATCCATCTCCATTCTTTTGGTTTACTCCCATAAAAGAAAGGACAAATCAGCACAGCAGAGTAAAAAG